CTGAAGGAGGGTATCACGGGGAAGGGTACCAAGGTGACACCAGGCGCTGCAGCGCACTACCGTAGCATCCTTGCGCCAGCGTCCCACGGAGGCAAGCCGATGGCTGCCACTGTCACTCTAGAGTTGCCTGTTTTTTATGCACGCGTATTTCGTCCCTCTCCGTTCGGAACGTCTTCGGTGACTAAGGTTGTCGCTCGCACGGTCTCTCCTCCCCACACACCGCCTGGCTGGCGCAAACTCTGCGACCCTCGGGGCCGTCTTCTTTACTTTCTCTTGCTGCCCTTTCCTGTACAGCTGCGCCAGCCAGGCCTATTTGTTTGTCGCACCGCTACGTCCGCGTTCCTTCTCATACACGCTCCAGGCTGCCGCCTCAAGATGGCCGAAGGTCAAAAAATTATCCTGGCGATGGACCCAACCATATGCAGTCACGAGTACCGCAAAGCAGGTTGAACGAATGAGAGGGAGCTCCCTATGGGGCCACGAAACGTGTGAGGGGTGTGCCGAAATGGGTGCGGTGCCGCCATGCGGACGCAGCCACTGGGGCCCTCGGTGGAGCTCCCTATGGGGCCACGAAACGTGTGAGGGGTGTGCCGAAATGGGTGCGGTGCCGCCATGCGGACGCAGCCACTGGGGCCCTCGGTGGAGCTCCCTATGGGGCCACGAAACGTGTGAGGGGTGTGCCGAAATGGGTGCGGTGCCGCCATGCGGACGCAGCCACTGGGGCCCTCGGTGGGGCTCCCTATGGGGCCACGAAACGTGTGAGGGGTGTGCCGAAATGGGTGTGGCTGACGCGGAGGGGGAGGAGGGAGGAGGGGGGGAGGAAGGAAGGAGTGAACGCGGGGCGCTGTCTCTTCAAAACGAGGACCCAACACCACAGGATGGTTGGGACAAAAAAGAGAAAGAGGAGGGGGAGGAGGAGGAGGAGGAGGAGGAGGAGGAGGAGGAGGAGGAGGAGGAGGAGGAGGAGGAGGAGGGAAGGAGGAGGAGGAGGAGGAGGGGAGGAGGAGGAGGGGGAGGGAGGAGGAGGAGGAGGAGGAGGAGGAGGAGGAGGAGGAGGAGGAGGAGGAGGAGGAGGAGGAGGAGATTTTCCAGAGATTTCGCCTCCCGCTAACTGCGAGTCGGCAGGCCCGCGCAAGAGGGCCTCCCTTCTGCCCGCTGGACTCCTCTTTGCAGCTGTGCCTGCGGGGGCCTGCGGGGCTTAAACAGGGGCTTATCGTTTCGAGGAGGAGGAGGAGGAGGAGGAGGAGGAGGAGGAGGAGGAGAGCCCGGGCTCAGGCCGCTTCCAGACGGAGGCTGCGAGCCAGAGCCAGGCGGCCCTCGGCCGCTATCTTCCTTGCCCCCTCGCCCAGAGCAATGGATCCTCCTTGGCGTGCAGGTCGGCCTCGCCGCACAGCCCGCGCTCGGCGCGAGCAGGCTGCGCGTGCGCAGGCCCGGGCCGCACAGACGTTGCTGAAGAGTTTTGCCTCCCTGCACCACAGAGGCTGTCAGGCCACCCGGATTGGTGCAGCACTGGCCGCTGCTTTACGGCCTCTGGTTCCACCTGCTGCCCGTCACGCTGCACCAGCTGCGGAGCCTCCTCCAGTGCCGCCTGCTCCACCACCTCCTCCAGCGCCGATCGATCCGCCCAAGGACGAGCAGCTGTGCACTCCTGCCGCCATCCTCGAGGAGAGCATTGGCGAGCACTCCACTCTCGGGCGCAGGCGCAGCACGCCTACCCCGAGCCGGGCGCACTCTGCAGGGGGAAGCTCGTGCCATTCCGCAGCGAGTTCTGTCGCCCCTCCAGCCGCGATGGAGCACGAGGTGCCCGCCGCTGCGACAGTTGAGGCGGAGCCACTGCAGGACAGCCAACGGGCTGCCAAAGGAGCAGCGGACGCAGACCAGCAAGGACCCGCGGGGCAGGCGCTTCAGACGGGAAATCCTGCTCGCGTGCTGCTGGAAGGTCAGGCAGTGCGCATCGTGGGCATCAAGGGCCGCACGCTCCTCAATGGCACCGAAGGCGTTTTGGGAACGTATGATAATGGCAGCGACCGTTGGGTCTTCAAATCTGGGTCGGAGGCCTTACGCATTCGCCCATGCAACCTAGAGTGCGTCGGCAAGAGAACCAAGCAGGTTCTCAGGCATGCTTTTCACAATGCAGCGGAACGATTCCAGTACCACAGCAAGTTCATGACGAATGACGTCTTCGACAGGCTTTACGACTTCGCAGCGAGTCAAGGGCAGCCGGGCGTTGGCATGTTCTTCAGAGATTTGTGCCAGCACGAGCAGATCTTCGACCAGTGGTACGCGCGCCTGGGGCCAAGTACTTCCAGTACTTCCTGAGCCCCTTGCACCAGCTCTGAGGTTTAGCGAGTGTGCTGAGTGGACGTGTTTGCTGGATTCGGCTCGTTTTCCCTCGTCGCCTCGCTGGGCTCGGCTCGTTGCGCTTGGTGTCGGGTGTTCGGGGCTCTTCGTCGCCGTTTATTCTGCTATGTCCGCTTCTTTCTCAGCCCTGAGCCCTGGCGGGCCCGTGGCTCCGCCTGATGCCCTGAGCCCTCGCGGGCCCGTGGCGCAGGCTGCCCCTGCTCTGACAGGGTGTCGGGTCCCCGTTCCTGCCTCGGCTGGCTCCCGGGACCGTTCGCGTGCATTGCTCGCTCTCTGCGCTGTCTCTCTTCGGCCCTGTCCTGCGCCCTTTTTCCCTGCTCCTGATGGGTTTCGCCTCGCGCACATAATCCTGACCGCAAGTCCAAAAAAGGAGGAGGAGGGAAGGAGGGAAGGAGGGAAGGAGGAGGAGAGGGAGGAGGAGGGGGAGGAGGGGGAGGAGGAGGGGGAGGAGGAGAAGGGGGAGGAGGAGGAGGAGGAGGAGGAGGAGGAGGAGGAGGAGGAGGAGGCGGAGGAGGAGGAGGAGGAGGAGGAGGGGGAGGAGGAGTGGAACAGGAGGGGGAGGAGGGAGGGAGGGGGGAGAGGAGGAGTTGAGCAGGAGAGGAAGGAGGAACATGATGAATTGGTTGAATGGTGGGTGGCCAGGCCTATTATGGTCCTCATCTTGGTGTACTGGTTTGAAAAGGTGAGGGTACGCTTCGGACACCTCCCTACGGCCGTCTTCGATGGCCGAGGAGGGGGGAGCGAGGGAGGGGGAAGGGGGAGTGTGGGGTTCAATGAGCACGGGATCCCAGACGAATGAGGATGAGGGTCAGCATAGACGGGGATCCATACACAGTGAATTGTTGGAAGTCAACGCGCTTGCATAGTCTGCTTTCCAGACATGCACTCAAGATACGCAAGCGAATATTGCAAGTCTCGGAGACTGCGCTGCACCGAACCAACCTGTGACACGCTCAACAAATATAAAGCTCGATCGCGACGGGACCCTGTGATGAAAGCATGGCCACTACAATCATGTCAAACGGCCTAAGATCAAACGCCTACCATGAGTAACGGGCGAGGTGATAGCGAATCCGTAGTGTTCGATCAAAGCCCCAATGCTACTGAGCACAAATATCATTAGGTCCTCAAGCTAATCTGCAAAGAATCGGTTCAAACCATGCTCAACAAACAGAAGGTCCGTTCGCGGCTTAAAGCAAGGCTTTTGTAACCATGTCCAACGGCCAACTATCAAACGCCTACCATGAAGCACGAGTGAGGTGTTGGCGAATCCGGTGTGCCTTCTCGAAGCCCCAGTAATACTAAGGCTATAAGTATGACGAGCTTCCCAGGCTGCCCTGCACAGACCATGCGTATGCCATGCTCAACGAACAGCAAGCCTGATCTCTGCGAGTCCCTGTGGACTGCAAATGCAACCGACTTCCACGGCATACCATCAAACGCATACCATAAAACACAGATGGGGTGTTAGCGAATCCGTTGCGCCCACTCCAAGCCCCAATGAGACTGAGCCGTACGAATATGGAAAACTGCCCTGGATATGTTGCATAGAACTCAGATGCACCATGCTCAACGAACAGAAAGCCCGATCGCGGCGAGCACCTACGGTTGGAGCATGGTGATTGGAATTGTCCCATGGCCTACTATTAAACGCCTACCATGAAACCCCGGGTGAGGTGCTACCGAATCCGTGCTGGCCGCTCAAAGCCCCAATGAGACTAGGCGACACAAATATGACAAGCTCATCAGGCTGAGCTTCACGGAACCCACATGTACCATGCTCAATTACAGGAAAACCCCATCGCGGCGAGCCCATGACCACTGCAGCCTCAATCCCACGGCCTTTTATCAAACGCCTCCTCTGAAACGCTGGCGGGATGCTGGCTTGCAGACGTCCAGGTCTCTCCTGGACAGCAGCCATCTGCGTTCTGCCCTGCGAACAAGCGGTCTGATCCTGAGGACTTCCCGCTGCTGCATCGTGGTCGCTGCAGCCCTCCGAGGCCGAGCGAAGAAAACGGAAAGGGAGAATAGGGGGTAGGGAGAGGAGGAGGAGGAGGAGGAGGAGGAGGAGGAGGAGGAGGAGGAGGAGGAGGAGGAGGAGGAGGAGGAGGAGGGGGGGAGGAGAAGGAGGAGGAGGGGAAAGAGAAGGAGGAAGAGGAGGAAGAAGAGGAGGAGGAAGGGGTAGGGAGAGGGGGAGGGACGGGGACGAGGGACGGGGACAGGACGCGGCAGGAATGAGGAGAGGGCCATGGGCAGGAAAGGGAGCTGCAGAAAGCGTACCCCAGAATATGAGCGAAGCCGCGGCAACGTCCAGGCGCAGCTGCTGGAGGGCACCCCGAGGCTGGAAACACGTCGGGAGCAAACAAAAATGCCCAAAAACCTCGAGCCTCGAACCTGAATCGCTGACCGGCGAGGGCACACGTCGGTCGGAAGAAGTAGGTAAAAATACAAAGTAGGAAGGCGGATGAAGTAGATTGAGGTCAGGCCCTGCCAGAGAAAAACGAAGCACAACAGAGGCACATCAGTTCTCGAATTGGGTAGGCCCGTCAAGTAGATTGGCATATGGGAATCAACAAATGCCTACTGTCAACGACCAGCGTGTAGGGTTCGGGCCTCGGCGCCGACCGGCGCGGCGGGGCGTCTCCTCCAGGCACCACAGCGGCGCCTCCTTCGACTGCAGCTTCCCCTGAGGCGCCCCCGGCCGCCCTCGCTCGCCGCCCACCCATGCGGCCACGTTCCGCTCGTCCAGGAGGGGGAGGGCGCGAGGAGAACGAGGAGGAGGAAAAGGAGGAGGAGGAGGAGGAGGAGGAGGAGGACGAGGGGGAGGAGGAGGCGGAGGAGGAGGAGGAGGAGGACGACGAGGAGGAGGAGGGGGAAAAGGACGAGGAGAAGGAGAAGGAGGAGGAGGGGGAGGGAGGAGGACGAGGAGGACGATAAGAAGGATAAGCTGAGATATGACAATATAGGACAATATAACATAAGATGTTATGTGGTAAGATGTTATATAGTAATACAAGATCAGATAAAAAAAAAAAGATAGGATACGAAATGATAAGATTATATAAGATAAGATAAGATAAGATAATATAAGGTAAGATGAGATAAGATAATATAAGATATGATATGATAACGTATGATAAAATAAGATGAGATAAGATAAGATGTGATGATTTGAGATAAGATAAGATAAGATATCATAAGATAATATGAGATAAGATAAGATGAGATAAGATGAGATAAGACGAGATAAGATAATATAATGTAAGGTAAGACAGGATCTGATGACAGAATACTAGACATGAAGAGATAATATAAGATAAGATAAGATAAGATGAGATTAGATCATATGAGATAAGATGACATGAGAAAATATAGGATAAGATAAGATAAGATATTATACAATAAGATACGGTAAGATTATATAAAGTAAGATGAGATAACAGTAAGCAAGATAAGATAAGATACGATAAGAAAATATAGGATAACAAAGTATATAATATAAGATGATATAAGATAAGGTATGATAATGATATATAATATGAGATAATATAAGATCAGGTAAGATAAGATGAGATAAGATAAGATAAGATAAGATAAGATAAGATGAGACGCGATAAGATATGATATGATAAGATAAGATAATGAACGATGAGATAAGATAGGATATGACAATATGAGCTAATATAAAATAGGATACGATGGAATAAGATATGGTAAGATAGGATAATAAAAGATCAGATACGATAAAATAAGATACGATAAACAACATCATAGTAAATGATATAGGTTAAGATAAGATAAGATAAAATAAGATACGTAATAGACTGTACGATCAAATAATGGATGATTATTCTCTCCAAAGCGCTCGAGCCGAAACGGCAACGGCCCGTTCCAACATGTCTCTCGGGAGGCTGCAAATCTATCCAGCCTCCCCTGCCTGCCGCGCTCCCTCCGCGCGGCAGGCCGCCGACTCTTACGGCCGGCACTGAGTCAGCGGAGCGTGGCGATCCACCATCACTCCTCAGAATCAAACGCGCGCGGCTCAAACGCCGCCGCCAGCTCAAGCGCTCAGAGGGATGTCTCGATCACCACTCACCCATCCAGCGCCGCCCGCAGGGCCAGTCGACTCCGACCTGCTCTCGCCACGAGCCCCATCGCCGCCAGGAACTTCTTGATCAGGGGTCCGCCCAGGTGCTTCGTACCAATATCGCTGATGTTCTCGAGACCTGGGACCTTGTTGACGCGCAGCTTCTACTGCTGCACAGCCCTCTGCAGCCACAGCAGAGGAGTATGTAGGTGTCGAACTCGCCCGACCCCACGACGTTCTGCGATGCCCTTGCCCGCCGTCGCGTCGCACTTCAGCGCGATCTCGAGGGCCACACCCATGTCCTTCGCGAGAGTCTTAAGGCCGAGCCCAATACTGCCGCCCTTCACGAGCGCGTGGAACTCCGCTTCTCCAGTGGATAGAGCGTTGAACCCTTGGGTTGTCGAGCTGCCTCTAATCCAATGGTTACCGATCATCACCGTACACGATGAAGTAGACTTACGTGTTCTCAGGCAGCCCGCGAAATCGCTGTCCGTGTAAACTTGAGCACCTCGCCGATCTGCCTGCCGTGGATACTCAACCACCAGCCTCGGGGCACCGCCCGATCCGCTTCATGGCCTGCCACCCGCCAATCGTCGGATCCTGCACCACTCGAGCCGATCCCTTCGCCGCGCACTGCAAATCAGGTCGATCTTGCGCCAGGCACTGGATCCGCATGCACACCGAGCGGTAGATGGCCCGCTCTCGTCCTTGTAGTGCCTCTCCGTCTAGCTCCTGCCTCTTGATCCCCGGCGTGACCACTGGCTTGCACTCCGTACCCTGCAGGCCCAGCTGGGCCAGGATGATCTCCACGTGCCTCGGGTCCGCCTCGTACTCGATGTTCCCCATGTCGTTGCCGTTCGGCCTGACCCACCTCACGATGCGATTCAGCACCACGATCTCATCGATGTCGCCGCTCTGCGGGTCAGGTCCCAGAACTCCTCGCACCTTCACGATCAGGTGCTAGCCGAGGTTCTCCGTGAAAGCCTTCGAATCCTTGCGCCCACCGAACACCATGAAATCGTCGCCGTGCCTCCAAACGACCAGCTTGCCGACCTGGTAGATGCAAGGCGAGAACTCGCCCTGCTTCGACTTCAGGATCCTCACCATGATGTCCTCCACCTTCAGGTCGAATGGTGAGCAGGCATCTCTCAGTCCATGCGTGGCCTTCAGCAGCAGCCAGCACTCGTCGCCCTTTCATTATTGATCTTCCGCTGGCGCCTTCAAGTACACTGGCCTCTGCAGCTCCGAGTGCAGATGCGCTCTTGAGATATCGACGAAGGCCAGCACTCGATCTTCATGCCGCCCTGTCATCTCCATAGACAGAATCATCCTCAGGCCCTCCAGCGGCGGGGTCGCCGCGAAAGTCGCCGCAGCGTCCTCAGGCCCAAGGGTGCTCAGCTTCCGCGTCTCTTTCGCCACCAACCGACTCCTTAGCTCTGGCTTCTGCTCGTCGCCCTTGTTGGTGTCGACCCAGCCGCTCGGCAGCGGCTTGGTTCCCGCCATTTGCAGCGCCTCGGAAATCTTCCCCCTCACGAACACACCGAGCCTGCTCATGTAGCCCATCTCGTCCATGCGCGCGTTCTTGACGCCCACCGGGTCCAGCACCGCACCGCTGATCCCGTCGTAGACGGTCGCCATCTCCTCCTCGGTCGCCTGATCCAGAATCTCTGGCTCCTCCGCGGTCTGACCAACTTCGAACGCATGGATCCCTTTACCGATGTTCAGCTCGTTCCTGATGCCCTTCAGGATTGCCTTCACCAGCCACAAGGGGTACCTCTCGGCCGCCTTCGCCCTCCTCTCCAGGAGGTGCACATGCTCGCGGGAGCCGTCGCACACGATCCCCACCTGCTTCGCCACCTCGCGGCTGTTCGTCATCCGGCCCGTCGGATTCGCCACGAGGCCCTCCGAGCCGTCCGGCCAATACGACTTGGCCCCGAACACGCACTGGCTGCCCTTGACCACCATGACGCCGGGCAGCTCCCTGATGCTCTTGATTCACTCCTCCTTCCAGCTCGACGCCGTCCAAGGGTGCTCGAACAGGAACCGCTTCCCCCTCGAATGCTGGTAGGCCGCCAGCTCCATGCAGAAGCCCAGGAAGACCTTGCACTCCGCGAGCAGCCTCTGGAACTTAACTTCATCGCGCTTGCCGCTCGCCTTCAGCAACTCCATCAGCTGCGAGAACGGGGTGCATACAGGAGACATGACGAAGAAGGCAGGGTCTCCCTCCTCGATCTCCGCTCTCGCTCGCTTCCTCTGCTCCTCGAGCCGGAAGTCCCAGCCCGTCCTGAGGTCCATCGCCACTCCTGGCTTCAGGTTGAACTTTGGAGCTCCCTTGGCGAACTCCCCTGGGTTGAACACCTCCTGCAAGTCCAAGCTGTCGGGGCCGAGCTGCCCCAGCAACGCGCCGTTTTCTGCCTCGTCGCCCATGGCCACGCCCGCCGCCGCCGGAGAACTTCCCGACGCAGTCCCCGATAAGCTTGGCGCCCCTGGTTCACCGACTGGTCCTCGATCACCGACTCGCCCTCGCTTGGCTCCAGGTTATTCGTCTTCACTTCTCTCAGGTCGCTCTCCAACTACTCGCCGCAAGCGCGCCTCTGCCATCCGAACTCCACCGCCGAACGTCTGGTCGTCCTCCATCGCTTTCTCGATCCTCGCTCGGCATTCCTCGCTGTGCATGATCGCGCGCTGGTTGTCCCGAGCTGCCGCACAGCCTCTGCAACCTGGAGTGTAGCCGTAGCGCCGCAGCTCCACGCCCTTCCTGATGTAGACCCTCCTCGGAGCGGGAGGACCCACAGGTCCTGGAACAAGGGGCAGGTCCACGTCCGGCACCACCTGGTCCGCCACCACCTTCGCCATGGCAGGTGGCACTTCGAGTCCTTCACCTTCTTAGCCAGGAACTGGTCGCCACGGCACGCCCTGCAGCTCTGAGAAAAGAGCCTTGTCGCTCCTCGCTGTCAGCGGCATCCTCTTGACGCTCCTGGCTCTCATCACGCCCTTCGGCGTCGCCACGTACACCTCGTCGCTGTCGTCGCGGATCCCGTAGAAGACGCCCTCCAGCTACCTGTCTGTCCACCAGCCTCGACTCCCTCTTGCCGACTGGCAGGTAGAACACCTTCTCGCCGAACGCCGGGAGCGCCCTCTTGCAAGCGCGCCCCTTCCTCAACTCGCACGGCGTGCGCCCGTCCGAGCCCACCTGACCTCGATTGTGGACTGCTGCACCGTGCCTCACCATCCACGGCGGGCACGGATGCTTCGGGCCGATCGTGACTCCGTGCATATTCTCCACCGCGTGCTTGAGGGTCCTCGTCAGGCCCTTCATATCCTTGACAGCTCCTTCAGCTAGGCCGTTCGACTGCGACTCTCCAACCGCCGAGGTCTCCAGCAAGCACTCCACGCCGTGGTCCTTCTTGAGCCTCTTGATGGCCTCGTCACTCAGCGCGATGATGCTCGGCTCGCTATCGCACCTGAAGACCACCTTCTTGCAGCCGCCTTTGACCACGAACTTCACCAGCATGTCGGCGCTGCGCGCGTGCGCCGCCCCCTTGCAGGTCAACACCTCCGCGCCCGTGTACCTGTGCAGCGAGTCCCTCATGAACAGG